AGAGAAATAAAAAGGGGGTTATGATTAAAGCTGAAAAGGGGGTGATGTCTGTGATGTGGGGAGGCAGTGGTGGTGGTGGTGGTGGAATGACACGTGGCAGGAGGTGATTGGGAGGTGATGTGATAACACAGCTCGGCAAGTGACGCTAACAGACAAAGGTTGATGTGTAAAATGTTGGATCTCCATCTCTTTCAAGCACATGAAATGTTTAGGGTTTTAGGTACTTTTTGTTTTTTTGTTTTTAATTATTTTTTGTTTTATCTTTTTGCATTTGGTGTTTTTTTTGGTTGGTTGTGTGTTGTGAATGCCACCATGAGATTTTTATAGTTGAATACAAGTTGGTACTTACTGCTGTCACGAAAAATTCAGGTTTAGATTTTAGATTACGGAGACTTTTAAAATTATTCTATTTTGGTTCACGAACCTTCAAGATATCTATTTTAGTACTTCAACTTTTAAAAAAATAATCATTCTTATTCCTATTATAGTGTTGCTGGATTAAAAATGCTAAAACCCCGTAATACGATTTGATTCCAACCCTAAGAAGAAGTTGGAATGGATTTATCTTGATGATCAAGATTAAGAGTAGAGAAAGATTAGAATCACCCCACAAGTTAATTAGGTTTGGTCTTACTTGAATGATTCTACTAAAACACAAGAAATGGAAAAGGAGAAGTTCATGACCCAATAAACTCAAATTTTAATCTAAACTATATATAGCCTCCAAAACAAACCTTGAAAGTAACCCAAGATAATTGAATGGTTGTAATTTTAGGCTCAAAACGTAACCTAAAATAGATCAAATGAAAGATTTAAAAGTGAAAAATACAATAAATGAGTCATAAATCCGAGAATGAAGTCACACTTGGTAAGCCTTCAATATTTTTGTAACCTTCCATGAGCAAGTTATGAAGTGTTAGTTGTAGTAGCTAGATTGAAGTTTAGTTGCATTAAATGATGCTTGATCTTGCATGAGACACAACATTTGAGCTTACTTAATGTGACTTAAGTTTCTAACCCGAGTTTAACTTTAATGCAACTCGACTTCCTTTACTGTACTTGATTTTAACTTCAGATCGTCATAAATGAAGTCTAAGGACATTTAATGCAATTTTTTTTGTCAACTTTGGACAACATATAAATTGAACCTGTCTCTTGTGACATGATTACGGTAATTATAAACTTAATTTTCAAAAATTAAAAATTAAAAAACGAAATAGTTATCAAACACAACTTTAATTATTCTGATTTAGTTTTTTTAAAATTCTACGTAAAAAGTTATTTTAGTCCTTCTTATCAAATTTGTAGTTCATAACTCCCACAAAAATTTGGAATAATTTAGAAGGTATCAAAAAATACATACTCAAAATTTTATCCCGTAACGAATTGAGCTATATGCTAAAGCTGATAATTAATGCGTAGAAAATATTTATTTGCTGAGTTATGAACAAAACATACGTCAGGTTAGATTTTGCTAAGATTATGATAAATTAATGAAAAAAATTAAAATATTATTGTATATAAAGTCTAGAGACTACCCACCTAAACAAAATAAGCATAAGCTTTATGAGTTAAAATGAGATTTGAATCCAAATGGATATTAAAAAATAAAATCATTAATTCACCACGACATATTTCTTCCTTGCATCAAACTCATTGTTCATCCTTTTTTTTTTCATCGATTTTGACTCCATAATATTCTGCACTGGCTTCACAACTTCTGCAAAGTTGTGGCTCAACGTAAATCCACCTCTCTTTTTATTCCATTCAAAATCAAATTGTTTGGTGGCCTATTTGTTTCTTACTTTTTTTCTTTTTAGTTTCAATATATATTTTTATATTTTTGTTTTAAAATTTAATTGAGACACAAAAACAATTCTGGGATAGTTCAGTTCCCTCCTGAATCCCTGATGGGTTGGAATTTTTTTTTTAAATAATAATAAAAGATTGTGACCGACTATTTTTTTTTTTTTAAAGGCTTCATAGTGCATGTTTTAGATATCGATGCAGACAGAAGTATCAATTTCATGGAAATGGATGGGTATTTTCTGAAAGATTGTTAAAAAGTAATTATTAAATTTACCCTTTCAGAATGAGTTAAAAGTTTTTGTTATTAATATTATTTCTATATTAGTGTTATTTTGTTGATATTTTTTTACAATTTATTGATTTTTCATGATATAATGAAAATGTCGATTTGTCTCTAATGTTAATATCAAATCTATGAATATGTGGATGTGTCGATGTTTTATTGGCTAAATGGTTTTAGTGACATCCACTTGTAACTACAACAAAAGTATACCAATAAAATTTTAGTTTCTGTTATTTAAAAAGAAAATTATGACACAGGATGATGGTTATCTCCTAAATGATGATGGACTATCCAAAGTGAGTCATGGGCTTTATTTATTGCGTGGGTTTATTCAGAAGAGGGCTCCATGGGTCCAAGATCGAAGCCCAAGAAGTTGCCAAGGATATATCGGCCCAACTCCAAGGTCCATAATGTTGTATTTTTACCTTTATTTTATTAATTTAGACTCAAAAACGTTCCCGAGTCGGGTTTGGCCGGGTTAAAAGTTATTTGATGCTATATGATAGTATTAGGATCTTATTTGTAAAATACTCATTCCCGCAAATATATACCTCATACTTCCATAATGATATTGTCCACTTCGGACATAACTCTTCCAACTTTATCTAACCAATATGAAACTTTGTTTTGTATTTTTTTTAGAACAACAATTTAGGGATATAAAGATCGAACCTCCAACGATAGAAGGAGTATATATCAATTATCACTGAACTATGCTTATTAGCAATAAGAGACCTTATTTACGCTTCTTGCAACCTCAGTAAAATAGATTCATGTGAAGCCATTGTTCGAAGAAAATTAATTAGAATGGAAGTGTTAATTAGAATACACTTAAAATAGAACTGTATTCTATATTTTCATTGGTTTTGAATGTAAAATTGGGAGTAGATTTAGAATTTGAAAATGCTGAAAACATGTTTTTACTTTAGGGGCTACAAAATTAAAATGCAATTTAAATATTATTTACCAAAAGAAACTTACCAATGARAAGTTTGATTCGATGAATCTAAAATTAAGGAATCAAATCGGGTTAGAATATCAAACATACCCCAAAAAGAAAATATTGCTAAAGGAATGTCAGCTTGAATCAGTGTGGAGACAAGTGTGTGTAAATGCTGAGGGGTAAAAAAAAAAAAAAGAATGATGTATTTTACCCAACTAATAATGTTAATATTGTTACATCAATTCTATAGAGCCTTCAATGGCTGATTCCAAGCATATTCTGCAAAACTTTTGCTCCCCTTATTCAGTAACAAAAAAAATAAATTGCAACTCAAAGTACAGGGAGAGAATACAATAACATAACCTATGATAACAAACGGGATGATCACGGTCGAGCCAACTCCAAGCCGATCCCAGTGGCCTGTAACGTTGAAATCACATCTGCAGGGTAAAAATTTTGATCAAGTAGCAATATTTTCTGTGACTATGCCCAAAGGAGTCCATCAAAGCCTATTTCCAGATTGGAAACTGGGCTATCACCATATGTCCGATCTTCTGTTCCTTTGTCATCTCCTAACAAATCTACSAATGGCTCCAAAAGATCCGAGGACCTTTCGGATGGAATACCGTAATCTTTGAGTATACAYGACGAAGCTGACATAGCAGTCTCCCTCTCGAGAACAGCAATGTAGTTCTCTTCGAATTCGAAAACCAAGTATTTGTCCTTGCAGGCTGAAAAAATGTCACAGACCATCATTGGAAAAGGGCAGAGTTGTGCCAAAAATGAGTTGAGATTGCTATAACTTACTGTCGACGAGGTGTGCTAGGTGATGAATGTTTCTGATTCGAATTCCATTCAATTTTAAAACCTGCAGTAAGGTCATATACGTCAGATATCTATGATCGTCCTACCACGGTTGAATCTCTACCTCCTTAGTAACAATTTTGTTTCTAAATAAAAAAAAAAATTGGCTAACATTTTCAATTGTGTTTAAAAAAAAAATAGAAGAAAGAAACTAAAAGAACGAAACAAAGAAATTATTAGTAAGCAAAATAAAATCGTTATCAAATTGRAATTTAATGTATTAAGTTAACTACCTGCTGATTCCCCATATCCTCGTATCCGATATTCACTTCATTCGCCAAGACCTGAATGTGTAAAGACCTCAATTAAGATTTTATGAAAATAGGAAATAATTTAGGCCTTATTTCATAACATATTTTTTCAAATTAAGCTTATAAACACTGCTTCCACCCCTACTCCTGTGATTCTTTGRTTTGTTATCTACTTTGTATAAAATGTTTCTAAAATTTAAATCAAATTTTAGAAACAATGCCTCGATAATAATTTTGTTTTTGATTTTCTGTTTTTAAAAACTTATCACAATTTCATCCGCATGTATGTTGTTATCTTTCTTAAAAAACATATTCGAATTTTTAATCAAATATAAAAACAGAAACAACTTGCATTTTCAAAATTTATTTTTAAAAACAAAAAATAAAAAGTAAAATAGGAATCTGAGGCTCAAAAGTAGGTTTTAAAAATTTGTTTTTGTTTTTGAAATTGGACTAGAAATCCATGTGTTAGAGATGAAAAACCTATCAAATAATTTGGGATAAAAACTAGCATAATTTTTAAAAACAAAAAACTAAAAATTTCTCAAAACTATAGTTATTACCTGAAATTAAAAAGCCAATGTGGTGTAATTTAATTTTTACTCATTATTTTTTTCAATACAACATGGGGAGGTGGAAATTCGAACTCACTACCTTTGGTCGAAAATAGGTACCTTAACCATATATTATATGTGCGTTTTCTCGAGAATTTTGATGTTCGTGGTTAAAATCAAAGTTGCAACTTACCTGCGACAGGATCACAATCTGTTCCCCTTTGAAATTTGCCAAGGAATAGCGTGCCTTCGCCAGTAGCTTCAACTAACCAGAGGAGAGAAGGAAAAGTAAAACTTCAAACCATGGAAAAAGTAATTTTAAATTTGTAATAGTTCTGAAATCTATGTTTATAATTTAAAACTCTCATCCAAGTAACATACCCCTATAGAATCTTCACATTCCTCGCTGTCAAAGGAAAACAAGAACAGTAAAAATATCTTGAATTAGTATATGCTTGAAAACTGTAAATCTTCTATGAGAAAAAACTTTATTCAAGAATAAGTACTAAAGTCCAGCATACTCTATTAGAGGTTCAGAGAGTGGAGTAAACACCAAGCCAGCAATTATTAGATAAGAAGGCTGACAACCATCAACGTGACAGGGAACCTTCAATGAAGTGCATTAGAAACAGAATTAGAACAGTGAATATAAAACTAAATCAAACAAGATTTGTGGTCATCGACCCTGAACGTACCAAGTGAACGCGAGGGTTGAGAATCACTTTAGCTTTAATAAGCTCTCCTGATCTGATAATACCAAGCTCTGCAACATCACCAGCGAACCTGTAAACAATGTAATTAAGTAATAACTAAAATTAAGTTATAAATTATAACGAAGTCGTGTACTCTACAGCAAAGCATAAATTAAAGTGAATGAAACACAAAAAAGGATTTAAGGTGCTTTACTTTTGACTAATGAGATATCGAAATGCTATGCGCTCATTTGTTCGGAAAGGTACTGTTCCTTCACATCCAACTTTAATTTCATCGAAGCTAACAATTACATCTCCCTGGAAAGAAAATAAGCACCATCAATTTCCTGAACTACAAAACTTTAAATCTGAGTTAGTAAGTTGGTTAACGTTAAGAAACCTAAGTTTGTGTAACTTGCATTTGGTTTGTATACAGAAATAGATTTCAAGAGTCATGTTTGGTTTGTGATTTGGAACTCCTTAAAAGATTAGTAGGTAGTTTAAGAATTTGTTTTCGGGAATAAGTATAGTTTTGCTATTAAAATCTATGCGATTAGCAAACCTGAAGCCTGAGCTATGCAACTCAATATAGATTATAGACTCAACTAGAAAAGTCAATGTCAAACTAATGGATGCAAGGGTCCASCGTCCACCATTCAATTGGATTTCACATGTTCTTTCTCACAAAAAACTACAAAAAAAAACATCCAGATAATATTATGCATACCTCTTTTAGGACATTATTAGCATCTGATGTGGGTTCTACCCTTCGCACCAGTACACCCTAAAAGACGCAGATGTCAGGTCAGAGAAGCATTAGGAATCATAATTAACTTGGGGATTTTAAGGATATCAAGCACCAACGTTAAAAACAAGAGACAACTTAAGCAAACCTAAATTTCATATTTGCTGATTGTAGGCAGCCACTCTTTTTTTGAAAATACATGATCACAAGAAAGCTTATCTAATATATTAAAAAAACATAAATTCCATTAGCCTATAAAAGAAATGCATTTTCAGGAAAGACAGACCTCATTTGACTTCACCTTCAAACAAGCACGTAATGCTGGATTTTCCAACTTCTGCAATAAAACCCCAAGGGAAGGAAAACCTGGAAATTTATAAATATTTAGGTTCATGCAGACTGCAGCATTGTACAATACAACAAAGTCTAAATTACTGGGTACCTGGTCTACCTTAATCTTAAAGTAACGGAGAGTGACGAGAAACATGATAATATGTATAAGAGAGTTAAGAAGTCTCACCAGTATATTTCCCATTCCTCTCATAGTCATTCAGAAAATGAGATACAACTGTAGTCGGAATAACATATCCAATGTTCTCAACCTCTTCAGATCTGTAAACCTAAAGGAATTTTCTTGTAAAGGAACAATAGATAAAGAAAATATTGGTACCTAATGTTCGCTTATGCAAGATTTCAAAATAAAAAGATGATAGGTTATAAATAAAGTGAACTTCAAAGAGAATCAGCCATGTACCATAAAACCAATCCAATAAAATTTCGATGGTGAAGGATAGATTTTAACATTTAAGACAACAATGTCTGTTCATAGAGCTAATAAATAAAAATAACATAGAAAATCTACCTGAAATGCCACTCCAATGCATTCTCCTTGGTCATTAAATGCAGGACCACCACTATTACCTAAAATCTAGCAAGAAGAGGCAGTAACTATCACATAGATAAAGTATCACCGTTTCAAGAATGCACAGAAACAAATACATCATAAAGGACAAGCTGGACGCAAGATCACCAAGAAATAACCACAGTRATAAGCAGGATAAACTTTTGGAGTTAAAACAATAATCTACTGACCAGGATTTATAGCAGCATCAATTTGAATGCCCAACAAATCTGATGATCCATGAGCATAGCATGTAACCTGATGAAATGTAATCCTTAGATCCATAGAATATTTTATAACACAGCCAGACGTTTGACCATGAAATTGATCTATGGGACAAATAAGCAGTTCAAAGTAGTCAGAATCAGACGAGGGGTACCTCTATACGTGACACAACTCCCCTAGTCACTGATATAGTATCTCCTCCAAGGGGGTACCCCACAACAGTCACAGCATCCTGCCCAGAGATACAGCAAGAATTGAGTGGAAGATATAAGCCTACAAGAACATGTACATAAAATAAAGTAATGTAGACGATTTCTTACTAAATCTTCATATTTGGATAGGAGATAGGTATAGTTATCAAAACAAAGCATTGTAAAGAGGGAAAAAACTTAAAACTTAGAGGTTAATGCTTGCCAGAAGCAGTATTAGATGCCAYAAACTGGAATTAATCACTTAATCAAATAGCCATGTACAAACCTGAAGGCAAGGCAAATTTCCAAACTTTAGTGGTTCTGCTCCTTTCCAAAACTCCTCATTTTCAACTGAAAGTAAAGCTATATCACAATCAACTCCTCTAGCTAAAACCTGTGTATAATATCACTGAGAATATGGTAAGCACAAAGATCTTGTAAAAATCAAGAATTACACAGCTTCAACCACAACATCTAACTCAAGCAATTGGTAAGCCCTAAGAATTTCAATTGACACGAGCATCAAATTATGAAAATATTTTTCATTCACTTGAAAATATATAGTTTATCAGACAAAAGAAAGTGTTGTTACTGCCACTAATATGCAAACAGGCAAAATGAAAAGTTGTGACATTTATATGAGGAATATGCAAAGAAGCTACAGGAGAAAATTACTTATGGAAACAGAAACTTCTCATTGATATAGTCAGAACTTTCACAGAAACATCACGGAAGGAAATCATCAAAATAAAGTCAGAACCTTCCTACCAAAAAATAATTAAGTAAACAAAGAACTTRGTAAAAAACTTTAAGAAGGGGCAGGAAGTTTTACAGTAATAGTCCCATTATGCAATAGCAGGCGCAAACGAAGTGATTATAAAAGGAACCATGTTGAATTTTTCAGGACATGACGTCTTCTAGAGGACAACTAACAACTTCAGATTGCATATGCTTGGCCATTCAACTTGCTTAGAAATTAGTGAAAAGGATTCTTCTTTTATACTCCGTAGACTCTTTGCTTTGGCACAAACTGGAAATTCGGGCAATTTTAAAAAGATAAGCCTGCTTTTATAATTTAAAAAATTTTAATGCAAGGACAAAAAAACAAAAAATAACATCGACAAATAAATGAACAAACTTTATCATGGGTGGTACATGTTTTCATGCCTAAGTTCACTGCAATCGGATTTATGGAACATCTCCAATGCTCCAGTAGAGTCCCCATTCACACTGAACTCTCTCTCACTTGTTCTGTAGTCCCTCTAATTTTCTTTTCCCTTTCTTATGCTTCGTTTTTTCTTTTATCTCTTCCTTTAGTAACCTAAACTGCCTTCACAATTTACGATAAATAAAAGAAAGAGATTCTTACGGAACAAGATGACCAACAGGATATCCATCGAGACAAACTTAAGAAAGGAAAACAAGCTTCTCCACCAGCAATACCTTAGCGACATACTTGGTATCATCTCCCCTTTTCTTTACTTTGACCTGCAACCGGACATAGGGACCAAAACAAACAAAACATGCAATCGTAAATAAGAATGAGCTGACATCAATATATTGTAGCTAACATAATTCTTTAGCAAAAGAAATGTAATATCTTGAGAAGACCAGGTTAAAAAGGATGATAGGACCTGCGTATTGGAAATAAGAAAGTAATGATAATGACATCACTTACACGTTGCTACCTACTGTAGTTTTTAATTGGAAATTTTCATATTAAAGAAAAGCACATAAAAAAAAAAGAGAAGGAAGATAACACGTCTCCTCCCTCAATTAAAAAAGAGATAAAAGTCTTAAATGGGAAAAAGGAAACAAGGAGTCAACAGCGTGTACAGGAAATAGGTGTTATCACGTAAAGGAGGCTCAAATGCCTCAGTACATTACCTGTGTATCATGTTCTACACAGTGTGCATTTGTCAAAAGTTTACCATCACCAATCATAAAAGCACTGCACAACAGATAAGAGGAAAAATAACAAAGTCAACTAAAAACTCCGGGCCTATTTGGTATGCAATCTAGATTCTATTTCTTATGTTAATCAAATAGATTCCATGAATATTTATTTGGTGTTTTTTTTAATTGCTTTTGTATTTTGTGATCCAAAGAGTAGAAATTTTGAAAAACAATTTTAAGTTTTAAGCGTTTTCAAATTCCAACTTTTAAAATGTAGAATTATATCAAAAATAATAATAAAAAAAACTTTGATAAATATACTATTTCATGCTCATTCTATTTATGTAAAAACTAAAACATGGAACACATGATATACTACAATTATATAATTTTGAATAATAATTAAACAAAATTGATAACATATATGTTAATTAATTAATAATAATTTAGATTCAACTAAATATTTAGTTGGTAACTACTAGATTGTTTACCAATGTATCACTAAATACACTTTGAACAAATTTTTAAATTGAGATTCATTTTAAATTTGCTACCAAACACAATGAAAACGGAATATTTTTCATTGAATCCTTTGCCTTGCTTTTAAATTTCTGCTTTTAGATCGCTAACTTAACGCACCCTTAAATTAGTTGGTAACATTAACTAAACAAATAAAGGATCAACCCCAAGACTGAAAGTGAAACTGAAATTCAACATATTCCAAGTCTAGAAAGAAGATAAAAGCTAAGCCTTTCTTTTCTGTAATTATCTTAGTACTCACCTCCCAGTACTTGTATACTGCCTTTGTTTCTGCCATGGGAGGGAATAATCTGGAGCAGTATGGGTACAATAAACCTACACAACAAATCAGAGAAGCAATAAGAAACATCTCATGGATGAACACATGGTGTATATATACTCAGTGAGTCTGCAAAAGTGAGACCAATAAGGTGTAATCTAAGACAGTTTCTTGTCAAACAGGCTCCAACAAGTGAGAAGAAATAGCCTTGATAAGTGAAGAGATGCAACAAGGCATAATTCATTTCAGCAAATATGCAAACTAGCTTATACAGTCTGCAAGTAGCTCACGCATTAACTTCACCTTTTTTCCAAATCAAGAAAAGTAATATAAAAGACAATCATCTCTAGCCAATACCATTTCGTTGAAGTACAACAAGGGACAAAGGTCTTATTGCCTTGAAACTTGTAATTTGTAAATGACTTCTATCACTTGATCTCGAATATTATTCACTGTATCAGCATACAAAGTGATAATCCGAATTCGACTTGTAATGAAGAAGTTGAGTTATTTTGGTCACATTCATGTTAGATAATGTTAAATATGTAAAAAATAATTGAATCCTTAAAAGAAATAACGAATCCTAATTCCAATAGTGATCTATTAATTGAAGTCAATCAAACTTCACATCCAAATGAATGCAGAAGCTTGAAGGTAATGGTAAATGGATGTAAGGTCCAGTCCCTGTTACTGCTTAAGTCAGTTGATCTGAATAGTAAGCTTAAGCTTTTAATTTAAATTACCTTCACAACAGCATTGAGGAAAGCTGCATCTTGGAGATTCCCTGGTTCAACCTGACATTTTCAAGCAGTCATCCACTGATCCACTAGATCAGAACAGACAAAGAGAGGAAAAATAACTCCCAAAAAAATGGCAGGGTACACGTGAAAAACCATAATATACAAGAAGTATTACAGAAGAATTGATACTCATGCATTCACACAGGTTTCACCATCCTGTTGCTACCCTACAGCTATTATACCAATCGGTTAAACTTACAATCAGATTTGAGATGTTAAAAAGTAAATAAATCGGAGTAACACCAGCTTTAGTTTAAGAATAGAAGTTGGCACCATCACTTGCAAAAGTGCTAAAATAATAATGGAAAAGGCCAATTTCACAATCACTAATGAAAAATAGCAACAGAAAATTGTATCTTATTTGAATAATTTGATGGAGAGTGATTGACCTATTTCTATTAGCATCACAATGCAAGTCAATTACCAAGTGCCACAGCCACGGAACATACCTGCGGCTCAATTGCATCAACCAACTCCTTCTCGTCTTTCCTCTGCATGCCAAATGATTTAAATGCTGCTGTCTGCAGTCGTCCTGGATTTCTTCGAGCATTGTTTTCTCTCTGGTATAGCAGTGGCACGCCATCTTTTGATTGTTGAAGAAATGGTTCACGTACAGTAGATTCCCTCTTCATTTAGTGACCCGGATTTACCAGAATGTGTTAGCAAAGGAATATAACAAAAATAGCCAATGAGATTTTTCTATGCAATGGATCTTCCCAGTCAGTTAACATTAAACAATTAGCTCCCCTTTTGAATTTGAAGCATTGAGTCTTCATACTACACGATTTTAAACTAATTAGTCTGTTCACTTCTTTCCACTCAAAATTGAATGTTAATTTAGTCAAGGAAGCATCACATTGCCTCTCAAACATTTCCTCGAGCTCATATCATGATAGGTGGTATTACTTTTGGATCTTGTATTGTTTCATTTCTTTATTCTCACTGGCAAATCCCTTTTGTAAGTACTCCTCTAGCCTTCCCCCTATGCCCGACTCCTCRTCACCCTTTCTACAGTTCTCGTAATACAAAATTTTCTAACCTAAAATAAAAGGAAAAACACAATTGTGTATTAACTCCAAGATCAATCAGTATGACAAAAACGTACATATGTTTAAAAGGGATTGACACTTACATGATATTAAATCTGATGTTTATTTTTATACRGTAGTGAAAAACTTTATTCGAGTATAGAAAATTCAGAAGAATTTGTTTATTTATTTTGAATTGAAAGGCAATTGAACTCCGATGGTCGGTATTGATAGTTGGCCAGAAGGTAGGATAAACACTTTAAGCCAACATAGAGCTACTCTAGACCGGTAACGGAAGCCAAAATTCATAAAACAAAGATCGTGAACGACGCGATAAACAGTAACAACTAGCTCCTGGTCCAACGAACTCACAGTTCTCAATCAAGACGCCACTGAACCGGATACAACCAAAAGCATCAGGCCTGCAATATCTCAACGTATAATTGAAAACAAATACTACGTGACAACACGCTGCAAGAACATGTCACTCCACAAGCTCAACTTTGAGTCTCTTGACGCACAATGCCTAGTTTGTTCTCAACTATATTACCGTAGACATGTAAAAAAGTAAAACYCGGAACAAAGATGACACTGAAGCAGACGCAAGAAGAAGCATTAGGCCTGCAAAATACCTCAACGTCGGAGTTGCCGGATGAATAATTGGCCGAATAAGAGCGTCGTTTGGAGCCGGAAACAGTTCTCCGGTCACCGATGGCTTTAGGAGTGAGCGAAGCAGTTGATCGCTGCAACGTGGCCGAGCGGCTCCGGGAAGGAAATGAGCGGAATTTAACGGTGGAATTGAAGACGGAGAAGCAGTTGTTGGCCACTACTGCAGCCATTGATCGGAGCTTTCTGAAATGAGGAAGTAAGAGGTGATTTTACATACAAATGTCGTCGGAGACGGTGAGTCAGTGCCGGAGAAATTTCTTATCCTTTTAACGAAAATGTAGGATTAGGTAAAGCCCGGCCGAATTTTGGCGCCTCCATGACTGCTTTTGACCAGCGATTTGGCTCGCTGGACTGCGGCCCATTAAAACTGGGCCGGAGTTTGGCCCATTTAGTATTTTTTTAACTACAAAATTTGAATTCACCCTGTGTTTTTTTTTATATACAAAATTAAGTCTATCTTTTCCTACTTGAGCTATGTTACAATTGGCCGGTTGATTCATTAGTTAAACGAGTTATTAAGTATTAACATAAATGCAAGTAAAAATGTTTAAATTTTATGTTAAAATACTAATTTTAGTCCAGTATTTTTATCTTTTTTAGTTTTTGGTATTTGTATTTTCAAAATACCCATTTTGATATATGTACTTTTAGCTATTATCTATTTTAGTTGTCATACTTTCAAAATATTGGTATTGATTCATGTAATTTTAAGAAACCATCATTTTGATCCATTTATTTTATTCTTTTGTCTCATTTTTTCGGATCACAATTTCAACACTAACTACATTCAATATATTTTTTAAAATATAGTCAAAACTTTATATTAAAAGTTCTAATTAGATTTAATATTTGTGTTAAAATTTTACAAACAAATATTAAAATTGACAAATTTTAAATGTACATAAATCAAAACGAACCAAATTTTAAAATAAATGGACCAAAATATACCTTTTCAAAGTATAYGAAAAAAAAGCAACCCAAAGCYAAACGTACGTGGACTACATTGGGTAGTTTAACTTAAGTTCTACCTTTAACCTTTAAAACAATATTTTATTATTATTCTATCTTGGTTCGAAGTTTCAAAATACGAATTTTAATCTGTTAAACAGGTAAAAAAAYAATATTTTAATTATKGTTTAATTGATTTATTATAAGATATTTAACATGTAGATAATGTAACTTTCAAATGTGTGTATTGACATGCTGACACGAAATGTATAAAAGTGGTCACATTAGATTAATTGAAATTGATTCGAACGTTCACAGATTTAAAAAAAACGCGAGTATTGAGTAGGTAGATATTAGATGACTGAATAATGACACGAAGTGAAGTGAATGTAAGAGTGAAAATTCGAACTCACAACATTTTAGTCGAARATAGGTACCTTAATTAATTGAATTATGTTCGAATTGGTCCGAATATATTATATTTAAATAGTTTAAAAATTAAAATATACCTTTTAAAAGTTCAGAGATCAAAAATGATATTTGGATCTATACAAAAATAAGTTTAAATTATAAATTCTACCATGGGCTCTATAAATTGTAAGTAAGTATATGAAATTTGAATTGTATTTTTAACGTCATCATCTGCTCGGAATTTCAAAGAACTATTTCGTGATTTTTCTTTTGTCTCTTTTATTTTATTTTTATCAATCTATTATTTTTGCTCYTTGGATCGATAATTGAAGATAGAGGTATTTATGGATTGGGTCGGGTTAAGGTATCATGGATCCAACTCRATTATTCGGTCTATAAATTTATTAAAAAAAAAATCTTTGAATAATGCATCAAATCATTAAATATTGAAGTTTGATTGATTGAGGTTATTCCAACCACTTCATTCAAAATAATGTATAATAAAAAAATGTAATAAAAAAATGTAAGTGTTAATATCTTAAACAATTATTTATATATTTTTCGCCACTAAATCAAGATCCTGAATCAATATTTATTTATATGGTTAAAAATGATATTGAACGATATGTAATCCGTAAAGAGTTGAGAAATAGAATAAAATTAAAATAAATATATCTATACACCATTTAGTTTTAAAATTAATAATATGTTCGGACTGATTTGATTCAACCAACATTTATTTTAAGTGAATCATTGGACCAATCAAATCCATAGAGTTTTAATTTATTTGAACCCACCCAAACCCAAACCATTAAATTGGGTTAGGTTTATTGGTATTTCGAGTTATCGAATTTTCTAAACACTTCTCCTGAAGACTTAAGAGTTGTATACCTCCCAACTCAAGTGGGGTAAAATCATATTAGGTATAATGAAAATTTATAAGTAGATTGATAAATAAAATCAAAAGTATTATTATTATTATTATATTTACGTTCGTACTTAGATTTCAAAGTTGATATATACGTCTTAACTAATTAAATGTAATATATACATGTACGAAATACGAGTAGATATTAATTATCGTTGAATATTAAATATTGTTTTTTTTAGTACAGACCCAGTACTAAAAAAATAATATTTGTCATGTGAAAAAAAAGTTAACAAAATAATATGTGTTGTAGTAAAACTAGATGCAAACGGATAAATCTTAAAGACTTGAATTTCAGAGGTCGGTCGCTATAATCGATTATCCGACAAATCCTATCCATACATCTTCATCCCGTCCGCCATCAAGTGTTTGGGAGCTGAGGAAATCGAAGAGAAAGTGAACCAAAGAAAAGAAAAATGGAGTCTCTGATTTTGATTCCAGCAAGCAGACACGTTTCAGTCTAGGAAATCGAAGAGAAAGTGAACCAAAGAAAAGAAAAATGGAGTCTCTGATTTTGATTCCAGCAAGCAGACACGTTTCAGTCTCAAATTCTTCTGGATTTTGCTCCGACTTCTACGTTCCTTTTACTACTGGAAAGCGCGCCATCAACTTCCGAGCATCTTGTCCGCAGATTCTCCATTGGAATGGCATTCGACATGCGCAAACTACTCCAAGGTCTTATACTCGATACGGYCCGCCGTATGGTGAGGAAGATGATGATCCTGAAGTTCAGGTTGAAAGCCTCAGAGTTCCTGATGATTGGTCGGTCCCTACCAAGGCATTGGAGGTATTGCTCTCCGCTCCTCCGTTTTTTGTTGCTCGTTACTTCTGTTTTTCGTTCGGCATTTATGTAATTGTTCGATTAGGCTCATAATTGAACTTCTTTCAGATGAATTGAACATTTTTTATTGCTCTTTACTTCTGTTTTTCGGTCGGCATTTCTGTATTTGTTCGATTAGGTTCATAATTGAACTTCTTTCAATGAATTGAACATCTTTTGTTGCTCGTTACTTCTGTTTTTCGTTCGGCATTTCTGTATTTGTTCGATTAGGTTCATAATTGAACTTATTTCAATGAATCGAACATTTTTCTTTGCTCGTTACTTCTGTTTTTCGTTCGGCATTTCTGTAATTGTTCGATTAAGTTCTGAATTGAACTTCTTTCAATGAATCGAACATTTTTCTTTGCTCGTTACTTCTGTTTTTCGTTCGGCATTTCTGTAATTGTTCGATTAAGTTCTGAATTGAACTTCTTTCAATGAATCGAACATTTTTCTTTGCTCGTTACTTCTGTTTTTCGTTCGGCATTTCTGTAATTGTTCGATTAGGTTCATAATTGAACTTCTTTCCGATGAATTGAAAATTTTTCGTTGCTCGTTACTTCTGTATTTGTTCGATTAAGTTCATAATTGAACTTCTTTCCGATGAATTGAATATTTTTTGTTGCTCGTTCTTCTGTATTTCGTTCGGCATTTTCGTGTTTGTTCGATTAAGTTCATCATTGAATTTCTTTTTGATGAATTGAGCATATTAATTGGATTTGTTCGTAACCATGGCGCATTCCTGATGCTTAAGATTGATGAATGCGATGCGATGACATTGTTATCTTTATGAAATTTAAGCAGAAATTTGACGTTCTGCGATGAACTTTGTTCTCCAATCCAGGGAGATAGTCATTTAATGAAGATCTGAGAGTCGGTTTTTTAAACTGCTCAACTTTGATGTTTACATTTTATAAGGTTATGAAATTAATCCTCCAGGTCCACCACACAATTTTCTTCTTCACACAAATTTGTACTGTCACTAGAGCATGATGGGTATGGATTTTGTCATTTTAATTCATTTAAAAATAATAAAATAAAAACTCATTTTACCAGCTCTTTGATAACCCTTTTTTTTAGTGTATTAAACTTTAGGGTAAAATACACTTTTGGTCTTAGAGGTTTGAACATGATTTATATTTGGTCCTAAGTTTAAAATACCATCTTTTTTTTTGTCTCTGAGATTTAAATTTAGTTTCAATGCAGTCATTGAATTTTGAGTGACATGTTTGATCCTTGAAGCTTGAATATTGTTATATAGCTTTTAATTGATCCCCAAGTGTTGAATTTGGTTTCTAATAAGTTCCTTGGTTAMGYTGACAGTTAGTTGACCTAATGGAAKGATGATCATAATGCGGTAGCTAATATATGTTGACTAGATGATGAATACTACCGATCTCTCTTTTTTAACATATGAGATTTAAGTGTTAGTTAACATATGATGGTGTGGTAGCTAACATTTGGTTTCTATTTGCTCTCTCTTTTTCTTTTTTAATTTGCTCTCGTAATGAGGTTAGTTCCAGTTAAGCGTGCTCCTCAGTCTTTYYTTCTACGACTTATCAGTTGAGGTATTTTTCAGGAATCAGAATGGCTTAGGGTTACCCTGCACAAATGGTTAGATGATGAGTACTGTCCAGAGGAAACTAATGTAGAGATAAGCAGAGTTGCTGCAAATTCGTACTACAATTCTTTGTTAGAGAAGAGGACAGACCTAGGCGATATTTTGTTGAAAATGGCCAGAGAATTGGAATCTATTTCCTATAAAGAAAGCTTTCATGGTGCATTCWCTTCTGCCAATGCAGCAGTGAACTTAATTGCTCAAAAAATAGAGTTGTCTTAGCTGTTTCAACCACTTCAATTTTCAAAGTAACTTACTGATTTGTCTCTTTGACTTCTCTCTCTTTAAGTAGCTCTTCTATTTTCCATGTTGTTAGATCTATATTTGTGGACAAACAATACATGTATTGCTCTTGTTCWCAATGTGAACACAATTTACTCCAACCAAGTTTGGATGTTCCAAACATGCAGATCGTGCACCATTAGGACGAGGACGAGGACGAGGACGGGGAAAATTTACCTCGGACCTCAGCCTGACTTTGATAATGACCAAAGTTATCAAGAGATATTTTGAAGTAAACCTTTCTCAACTGTCACTCCACCACGGTAGAATCCAGGGGTGATAATGAGTGGACCCTACTAGTCAACAGTATAAATAGGAAAGTAATCTTCCTATTAGGTACGGTACGTGCATGTGACTAAGAACTCGTCTTGAGAGCACTTCTGATTATCCTGACTTGAGCGTCRGAGCCCGCTTTCCCTCTTTTGTAGGTTATGCGTTCACCYCGGAATGGCATCTATATCTCTCTCAGGTACTTGATTTTATTTTCGCGCAACAACAGTAAGTTTCTTCTTTTATTGCATATTATGTTGATATGAATTAAATAAAAATCTAAGCAAATATTAATGGGTTTGGTAGATTTTTGAATTGGCTTCTTTTCTATTTAAAAGTTATTTGACCTAAACTTTTGTCTTCAAAAAGACATAGCAGATTGACTACCACCACAAGTAGTTTCGGGTCGCTTAAAGACAAAGCTAGAATTTTATGGAAAATTGCCATTAGGGCTTCTATTTGGTYCCTCAATAGTAGTATTACTCGTAGGTCTTTTTGGCAAAATGTGCTGTATTTGGCCTCAAATTGGAGTGCCAATAATAGGACTTTTGTAATTAAAGCAGCTTCTTGATTAACTTATACTGGAGGAGTTCTTTTTTCCAACCCTTCTAGGCAGAGGTTCCATTCTTCTTGCATAAAAAGTTTGTTTCTTATGAAAAATAAAAAGCCTTCTGTTCTGAAATAATACAAATAAAGACACAGAAAATATTGCTACTAGACCTAGCATGCCAAATCTAGATGCTACTGATGCAAGTTTGGAAGACGATAGGAGCTTAACGATGCAATATGCAGGAAGTATCAGCATATTCACCCAGTGGCCTTAACAGGGACGGTCTTCGACAGGCAAAATCGGAATATTGCCTTCTGATTCCAGCCATTCTGTAATGATTTCCCTCATTTGCTATTTTTCTGTTCATTGTAGATGGGAACTGAGTTTTTTTGCTTACATGATGTGTCCCTCTAGTTTTGCAGGCACTACTGTCATCAAGGCCCCCCAAGGGCAATGCTTGTAGAAGAAGACGACGCTTTCCCGAAACCTACGAAGCCATCCCGGTACGAAGGAATGCAATTGGCTTTAGCCATTTCATTGATATATATGATATATACTTGTTGTCTGAGTTGCTCTATGAAAGGCATTCTCCATAGGCAGAGCCAAGGTTCAGTTCATATCAAATTCCACTGATTCTTGGGAGATTCAGTAGGACAATTTTGGCCCGAAGATCGTGTAACAGGTATCTAAGTTTAAAGTATAATCCGATGAAATTAAAAATTTGAGGTAAAATTTGGCTTACGACATAAAATTAAACTAAAAATAACACCAAGTGATAGCAAGTTATTTTGATAGTTTTGTTATTGGCAACGTTAAATTTTGTTATATTTATCTTATATGAGATCAAGTATGGAATGTATTTTAAGATATATAATGTTGAAGATGAAAATAAAAGTAATTTTTCCCCTCTTTTTAAAGAAAATCCATGCTTGTCACAAACTGACTATAAACTAGTAATAGAGAATTTTATATGCATAAAAAATCTAATCCAAATTAAAGTTCACAAGATCGATTATACACTTTGAAAACATTACAATGTTTCATTGAAAAAACAAAAGGTTAAAACTTAAAAGTAAGTAGAAAGTTGTTAATGTTTCAAAATTTTCAATCTCACTTTTAATGTACTGAAATTAATTAATCATGTCCCTGTGTTAAAAAAAAAAGGTTGAAATTTATTAACAAAAATAAATGTATTATTCAATTGGATACCCAACTTGGAAGAAATGAGTTTTATTGATTGGTAGGTCTCACTTTTCTAATGGGCGGGTTGGATTTTATGTGTGGTGTACTTATAGYATCTGAGTAACATGTCCACATCTACAAATTTGTTAACGTAACATTAATTATTGAGATTTTTTAATATATTAAGGATAAAATTAAAAATTTTAAAAGATGAAAGACCAAATTGATAATTTCTTCGAGGATTATGAACCATCTTGTGTATTTAGCATAAGATTTATAATGTAATACCATATGAAATTGAGAGAGAGAGATTAAAATTGGTATCACGAAAACATTAATGGATGATAAGGTTCGAAATGTTGAGGTYTTGATTTTACGGACATGTTGATAGATATATCGATGTTGAAGTATATTTCGGGAAAAATCATGAAATTTTTTTGAATTAGTAAATAAAACTTGAATTCTAGTTTAATTAGTCTATAATTGATCACTTTTAACCATTAAATGTAAGAATATGACCATTTTACTTATGAAATTGACGTTGATAGAAATATCCAAACAATATTTTTTTCTTTAATAAAGATTGATGGAAATTATTTGAATAAGTAAAGTAATCTTTAATTGTAGCTTAATTTGCCTATAATTGTTCACTTTTAACCATCCTATCTAAATTATTTGCCTAAAATTCCATAAGTAATATTGGTTACTGAAAACATTGGAACAAAATCCTAGTTCCAATACACAAGTGGAAATTATTTGAATTATTAAATTAAAGTCAATTACCAAAATCCTATATACACACGTGAAAATTATTTGAATTATTAAATTAAAGTCAATTGTCAATTGATTATGTTTTATTGATAATTTCTAATCCAATCTAGAATTTAGTTACACAATGAAACAGTATATGTGAAATATTGATATATATAAAAGTTGAAATAATCATAGAAATTTTTAAAAAATAAAATATTATTATATACAAATAGTAGCGATACATGAAGTAGAACATGTAACTTAATTAATACCAAAAAGAGGTCATCCTAGACTGAAGATTGAAAGTGTTGAAGATTGTTGTTCAATAGAATATRACTCATACAAAGCACATATGCATCCTATTGGTAGATAATTTAGATGAATGACACAATCACGAGGTTGAGGGTGATAGTCATAGGCAATGTACTAAATGTCGCTTGACACATTGACATGTTGACATGTTGAGGGACTCGATATCGACACGTGGGGGAAAATCATTTTCCCCCCTTATCGATGGTCTAATAAAATATTGTTGAAATGTTGCGAAAATATCGACATTTCGACAATAGCCATAGGGTGAGTATTCAGTTTGACCATACCCAGCGTAATAAAAAACTTTATTAACCATAACTTTGTTCTTCTATACTGCTGTTGCCTATACTCATTGTTCTCATACTCGATAYTAAGGAATTATCATCATATTGTCTCAAGTAAGGTCCTACATCTTGATTTCTATAAAATTGTTTACCAATAGCAGCAATCCCCTTACCACCCTCCCGATATCCATGGTCCTCATCTTGGGCGACATGGTCGGATCCAACCTCACATGAAAAATGACTTATTCATGGATTACTTGATTGCCCTACYTATGCTTGGTTGTAAGCATTAGTGTCACATCTTCTACCAGATGATCTGTCATCGTCATCATTTTCATTATCAGTGATGTCGTTCTCATCAACATTATTCTTTGAAAGTTTCTGACGTTTTTCGTGATGAGGTACTTTTCAGATAAGTTGTAGGTCTTGTGTATTATACCCAGCTTCTACAAAATCTTTCATATGAAGCTCAATAGAAGAGTGAGTTTCATTACGTGCAYCTACCTCTTCACGGATTACCTGTTTTACATTGATACAAACATTCATAGCCATATCTTCAACCTTATGGTATGGATTGCCAAATTCATCATCAATATGTGCTGGTTGAACTCATTGAAAAAGTGGGTCGTTACCATCATCGTTGAGATCGGCTCTAACATCTACCAAGTCAAGATAGTCTGTTTCTACTACTCTTTCCTCTTCAGCCTCCATATCTAAAATTTTTAATTTTATATTGSAGTAGCAGTAAACAAGCTTGTGGAGCTTCTCGTATGCTAGATGATTACGTTACTTTGTGTATACTAAAACAAACGTACTCCAATTTCGCTCAGATGTAGACGATGAAGCTGTTTGAGACAAAACCYGTATAGCTAACTTACGCACGGTAGGCGCACTGGTACCATACATGCTCTACCATTTACCTGCAGACATAACATCAACAATAATGGAAAAAAAAAAAACTAGAAAATCTATACCATGTATTTTATATAATTATAAATAATATAAAATATCAATAGTTATTAATTTTACTTAAATGTTACTATTTTATTTCTTGATGCAGTAACAGCTTGATTACCAAAACTCTTTTTTTATCTYTAGAATATAAGAGATACATTCAAAACTAACGTATTTGGTGAGTCCATATCAATAAGAATAAATATAATCAATTCAGTTTTATAATTTCCTTTGTTCCAAAATCCCCAGCATTAAGACACGTTGGAAATAATTTTTTTATAGATTTGATGTACAACCTGAAGTAAATTAGGATTCTYACCAATACTCGTACCGTATTGATTGTTTGGATTTTCAAAAAGTGAGCTATAAATATGATTGATACAATTAGTTGGTTAGTAACTTAGTATTACTAAAGTACGTACGACTATTGTTATGGAGAACGAAAATGACCCGAAACGA